CCGATAAATGAATAAAATCAAGCACGTAGAAAATGCGAACAGCAATATACGTCACACAGTGAGTGTGACCGACACGGCGCTGATGACGTGTCAGTTGAAGTACCTTGGGCATGTCCTGAAACGGGCTAAGGACCTTATATCGCAATCTATTGTAGCTTCCGTGGTTTCATGTTCAACTACAGGTCACTTCCGGCAAGTTCTCTTCTTTACTTGTACTTTTTTTATTGTTAGTGGGGTGGGACTAAGTCCCTTGTACTGCGGCCACTTCTGGCCTATTGTCCCAGGCGCAGATGATAGGTGAGGGTGATTGTGGAGTAATTGGTGGAATGAAGATTGGCAGGGGAAACCTAAGTACTCGGAGAAAACCTGCCCCAGCGCCACTTTGTCCACCACAAATCCCACTTGACCAGACCGGGGATCGAACCCGGGCCGCTGCGGCGGGAAGCCAGCGACTAACCGCTTGAGCTATGGCGCGGCCCCATTATTTGTACTTACTGTAACTTATGAACAGGAATGTGACCACGCCGAGGTTCTGGACCAGTGTGCAGTACTGGGACTGGAGGCTAGGTGGGAGGGCGGGGGGTCTGAAATTAACTAATGTGGCCCCAAACAAGACTACGCCCGGCTTTCCGCCTACTTTCACGCTGATATCTTGCTCGGCTTATTCGACCATGAAGACGAAGGCAATATGTTCCTTCGAAAATCAATCTATACACAACAAAACTGAAATCCCTACTACTGGGTAGGCGAATTACTGGAAACTCCTGAGATTACAGGTTCTCTCTCTACATGAACACCTGGTACGGTAAGGTAAAGCTATCCCTGTAGCAGGCCGTGAATGTCCTTAGAATTAGCCCTTTACACACCAGGAAGATTCCTGCTACTCATTTCTATTAGAGGCTGAGTCGGTCCCAGGGCCATAGTGTGGCTGGAAGGATTAGGTCAATTGAAAAATCCAATAAACTCATCGGGAATCGAACCAGCTACCTTCGGCTTGGAGCACAGTGTCTCAACCAACTACGCTGCCGGGTATCCCACTTCATAATTAAATAACTGACCAAGCCAGAATTCTTTTCCGTAAGATACATTTTTGCAGTTACGCCATGTCCGTGTCGAATGGTCAGAACTCTGGCCACTCAAGGAAAACTAGCTATTAGAAAACAAAATTAGGATTTAAAAAAATCTCAACAAACGAAATTAGTGTCACCTACATAACTCTCATTTGTGTGCGCAAACAAGCGAACTGTACATAAACGTACAGCAACAGATACCTCATTACGTCCGCCTGGCGGTACCAGGCCAAGAGGAAGGCTCACAGTAGTCTTACCGGCATGGGACGTTTGTTTTATATCTGGCACCAGGCGGTGAAAAGGTTCGCCGCTATCTCTGCCAGCCGAATTCATAAATCCTTGGTAAGGTTACTGCTTCTGGTTCCCACTGAGACAGGAAACCGCAAATGATGAACATTGCTGAGAAGATATGGGATGCGAGAATTCCAAATGACATTTCAGATGAAGACGGTGTGAAAACCCAACGTGACGATTTGTAATCTAGTACCGTCTCGTTTCAACAGAGTTCCTACTCCGTCACAACCGTCAACGTCACATCACTGTAGCTTGCAGAAGTGAACAGCATCAAAGGACACGTTTTATTCACCTCCGCAACACAGATATGAACAAGAGGCTGGGTAATTACACGTTAACTCAGGAATAAAACGTGGAATCTGACTGGCACAAAAGTGGCATAACGGTGAATCCGCGTGGAAACTGTGTATCCACAAAACTAGATGAATCTTCAACACTACAGCCCCATACAGTAGCCCTTTTGACAAACAACATCAAGAGTACGGCGAGAAATAACTCCATGCACGTTTCGTGTTAAAATATGAGGGAGGGTACAAATGTATGTAAATGACGTAAATTTATGCATAACATCACGCCATGAAGACGCCTTCTTAAACTCAGCTGCAGATCAAGGTGAACGATCAGCTTCACGATACGGCCGCTTCCCTACCTCACGGAAGAAACCTGCAGAGAGTCGAACACGTAACCAGTATCCTGGCTCACGGAAACAATACATTTAACAAGCATCCGGAAATGAGGGCGACCGAGGGGCAGGTCACTGTCATACGTCCGAGTATCGGTGTGAGAAGCAGCGAACACTTAGAATACGGTCTTTAGGACTGGTCACAAAAAGTTGCTGTTCCGACACGCAACAGGGAAATCTAAGCTGGCACGTGACGTTTCTGAACTCGGCCGAAGACACCGAAATGCCCGGAGGGCATGGGAATTCCTCAACGGACGATTTTCAGAAGTGACTATGTGGGGGAATCCGAAGGAAGACCTACAGCGCACAGGATACGCCGGTATCCTTAATGAGAACGCAGACTGCCTAATGAGCTGTGTCACCATGCGTATATCCCACTCAAATTTCGGCGCTATCGCTATGCCAGTGAGTAACATCACAAAAACGTGATTTCTCAATTTCACACAACCGGTGATAGCAACATGGAGGACGTACGAATCCGTGAGGTGGAAGCAGCGCTATCGCTATATCGTCCTTTCACCCCCACAGTAACGTACACTACAGACCAATATTTCTGGTCTCACTATCTTTATGGCTATTCCCTCTAGTCTGCACGAAAATAGGTTTCATATATTATATTCTTTGAACTGACGCGAAAAATCACGCAGCTGGAGGGCATATAAGATCATATTCAACGCTGGTGTGAAACCAAACTTAACAAACAGGAAACGTGCACGAGTATTTGGGTGTGACACAGCCCATGCGATTGATCGCTGGTTCTTAACCGGTGGGCTGACCCCGCTAGTGGGGAGCAAACCACGTTTTTGGCGGTCTTTTCAATGTTTACAGCGCAATAAAGATATACCATAAGTCTACAACAATTTTGTATTGGAAAGAGAAAAGTAGCTTCTTCTGGTCCAGTAAAAATGAAAAAATTGCCATATTTTATTTGTAAGGATTGCAACTGTTGCATATATATTACTTGCTTATGGAGCTGGGCTCTTCTTGAGGAGAAGCCAAATCTGCAGCTACTCAAGAATTTCCCAGCATTTTATGGAACCCGAAGGTTCAATGTATATATAATGAACATATATAATTTTTACCATCAATGCAACAATAATTTATTATTTATTTATTTATATAGCACGCACTACATGTTTCGACCTCAAATGGGTCATCTTCAGGTGCTGCAAGTTTCTCACATACTACTACCGAACTGCAACAATAACATTCCCATTTGTCTAAATGGTTCGTACGAATTAGTTCCTATTGAATTCACAAACTTCACAAAACTTAGACTAGATTTTGGTTAAAACTGACAATAAAATACAATAAAATATGAATAAAAATAGGTGCTTCACAATACACTTCTGACGTTATTGTGGTCCCCTGTTCAATGAACTTCAAAATAACATTAATAACATAAGATGCGTACGACTGGACATCTGCACAACAAGAAAACTGGTTTTATAGTTCTGGACCTAACTCCGTGTTTCACACACATTCGTCCAAACATAACTTGCTGCTTGGAACAGAATTCTGACAAGCTGAAAGTCGCTCAGCTGGTCAAAGGATTTTCCACCTTTAATGAAACCTGAACATTCATTACCATCCCTTTCATGAAAAGTTTAGACATCAGTACTCATCTGCTGGTCGGTTCAATGCAGTCCACATTCTATTACTTTTAAGATCCATTTTTATATTAATTTACCATCTACAGCTAAGTCTATAAAGTTATCACTTCCCTTCAGGTTTTGTGTATAAATTTTGTACACACCTCTCACCTCTCACCTCTCTGTGTGTGTGCGCTTCATGTCCTGTCCATTTAAACCTCTTCATTCCAGGCAAATTAAAAATGTAAAGTTCCTTGTTACATAATTTTCCCCGTCTGATTACTTCCTCCCCTTTAGGTGCAAATGTTCCTTTGCCAATTTTGTTCTCAAAGTGTCAACTCTGCACATTCTTGCCTTAGGGTGTGATGCAATGTTCCACACCCACATAAAACAAAAGGTACAGTCATAGCTACCAGTACAATGGGGCAAGCGGTTGCATAGTTGGTTGAGGCACTATGCTACAAGCTGGAAGGTCACAGGTTCAATTTCAGATGAAGTCACTGGATCTGACCTAATGCTTCCAGCCGCACCATGGCCCTGAGGTCAACTCAGCCTCTAATAGAAATCAGTACCAGGAATCTCTCTGGGGGTAAAGGGCGGCCGGCCAGGGCATAAGGCTGACAACCTCACCGCCATCTGTGAGCCAACTGTCTAGAAAATGTGGGAGCATCGACATCTCACAACCCTTAGGCCTCCATGGCCTGTTATAAGATAGCTTCAATTTACACCAGTACAGTAAATCCTCATCCACGACATTGGTTAGGTCCCTCAAGAATGACATGCTAGCCAAATTCCCATTGGACAGATGGGTTAACCAGCGATATGTAAACATTGTCACTTAGGTCTCTCATTCGCACTCTTGATATGCAGATTTTTACACACACACACACACACACACACACACACACAAATGACCTTACTTACACTGCTTTGAAGTGTCAGAAGCACCAAGTTCTATGGCCTTGAATTGCATGTCAAGTGTCTGGCAGTACCAATGTGATGTTTGGAAATTCAAGTATTATCTAAGAATCAGGATGACTGAATTGCAGTCTTTCAAGGCCATGGTCACAGACAGACTGCATACCTGTTTTTACTGAGATACGCAGATTTTTACATACAATACAGGAAGCCAAAACAGTCTAAAGCGAATGACTGGAAGAAATCCTTAGATTTAATATGCTTATAATCCAGCAACTTCATCTGTCCTATGTTTAAAATGAAGGATGGAGAGATGTCACCCCCCCCCCCCCCCCCCNCTATTTGGGAGAAACTAGCTTATCAGCTCAGCAGTAGTTTCTGCATTAGATCGTCATAGTGGATGTCAGGATTCTTCGTATGACAATACAGGGCTTTGTTACATACCATCATAGTTGCGTTCCTCGAGGTTCTGTGGCACTTGCTGCTGGAAGGCGGCATACTGAAGGTTTGCAGTCTTTGTTTCTGCTACCGTGACAGGTTCTGTTAGTGCTTTCACACACTCCAAGTCCCCTATCTGACAAGCAAGATGAAGTGCTGTGTTTCCACGGCGATCTCTGATGTCCACGGTTGCTCCTGCGACCAGGAGGCATCGTGCAATGCGGGCTTGGTGCGTTAACACCGCCAAATGTAGAGGCGCCTGAAGGAGGGAAAAGACCCAGTTAATTCCTTAATTGCTGCTGTGATCCATATTAATCCTTAAACCTTAATGGTGGAACACCCTAGTTTTATCGGGCCACCTGAAAATACCTAATACTGTAGTGGAAAATGCAGACTATGATCACATTCATAAGGAACTGACCGAATTATGTTTAACGAAAATCAGAATTAAAATAACTGATCTCATGATACACCAATAAATCCATTTGTGGGGTGAGAGATCATTTTACATGCATTAATATGTCACCAATGGTTGAGCAATGACAACTCATCTTTCCAATTTCTGTTACCTGATGACTGATAATGCTACATTTCTTTACTTCAAAGCCAACAGCAATTCCATTCAGACCTAAACCTATTTTGTAATCTGTACTGTTTCCTCTCATGGTGCTGGTCACTGTACTGGGTTTCAACATAATAAGCACTTCTTATGTCATGTAGATGGGTGCTAACATGACAATTATTTCTGACATGTAACACAATTATAACATAATGTTATCATACCAAAACAATGTTCTTAAATCAGCTTATTAATATTTTATGTTGAATCTGAGGTTTTCTCAGTTGCAGCACCATGTAACCTATGTTCTATCAACTCCAATTTCATGGTCTAAGATTATGCCAGACAAGAAAAAGGCAGAAGAATGATCAACTTGCCACCCGCCTCTGCTATTCTTCTTGATTGGCTTACTCTTTAATCCTGAAGATGGAGACAATATGTTCCACCTAAACAACAGATTTCTAGAGCTAACTTATTCATTAAAACCTTGAAGACAATATTCTTGGCCTTGCTCTAACAGCCACGAATACAATATATGGATTGACTGTTTTGTAAGCACCAGAGAAACATCATGTCTTGTGTCATATTTCTGTCAACACAGGCATCAACAGTGGCTCTGACTCATTCTCTGTGCTGTGATGTGTGTTAACATACCTGGAACACATCATTCAGGATGTTAAGATACCAGGGATGGGGGATGATTCGAATTAAGCTGTACACAACTTCAATGAATCCTTGAATGATTGCTATGTGCAGTTGTCTGTAAAAGAAGATAAAGAGAGGACTATACAAACCTGCAAAACAACATGCTATACCCATTACTAACAATTCTGGGTTATGTCTTTAAAATTTAGATACAAATAAATAAATTTCTATATTAATAAATTAGAGCAGTTTAGAATGTGCTCAGCAATGCCACTTAAACAACACTAAAGAAGAGAAATAGTTCTGGTAGGAGTTTCCCACAATACAGAATGAAAGGCTCACAGTTCCACCTTCACGTTGTCACTTCTGGGATAAACAAGTTTATATACAGCAAAATCTAGACCCTTACACACCAACAGAACAGGTCTTGTTCTCCTGTTTATCAGAATCAGAGTTCATCAGAATGAAAAACTATTCTGTTTGGAACAGTACGAAGGAAATTAAACAGCGGTAGCACAATAACTGTCAACCGTAAACACTACAACTGTGCTGCAAGGCTTACTGTGTACATCAACTCCAACTGCATATCTGCTCTTGTCACAGTTCACTGTAATGTCTGCCTCAACACCCTGACAGTGTGGTACCAAATACAGTTATGACTTTAAATGTTCTGTCTACATCATTCACTTCTCCATGTCCTCCAGACTGGCTGTGGGGTCCACTCAACCTCCTATCCAAAGGGTAACAGGGGCTCTTTCCCAAGGGATAAAGCAGCTGGGGCGTGAAGCTGACCACTCCCTCCAGTTAGTGATGAGGTCAAGAAAATGTGGCTCTATACATACACTTCCCCATATGCCTTCTTGGCGAAGTACTTAATTAATTAAGCACAGGGGAAACTTTACCTTTACCTACTTCAGAGTTAATCTCCTTGAAGCTGAAAATGTGCCACTAACAGGCCGAAATTCTTAACAGGTAGCACCAGCACCCATAACAAGCAAATGCTGGGCATCCTGTTAATTCAGTCTGCATCTACCACTGTGTAAGTTGACCCACAAACTTACTGACGGCTCTTAGTTGTGGTAGCCTGGATTCTGACTCTTCAAGGATATATCTATCATGTAGGGACTACATATCTGAAATCCCACAGATTTCTGCTGCTAATGATGAATTACTTACCCTTCAATTTAAACTTTCAAGTGATATTTCTGTACCCTTTAGAACAAGTTACTGCAGGCCATACCTATGTTTTAACAGCTAGCTTGAAAGGGGTTCTTAGGGTTTCCAAACCTTATAATAGAAAAGCAAGAGCACTTTCAATTAGTTTCAAAATGATCACAGTCAACTTACGTATCACCATCCTCATCCTGATTGAAGTACAGTTCCCATGGCTTCACAGGGTCATCAGGCTGTTGGGGCTGCTCTGAAGTGTGAGGGGGTGACAATGATAGAATATTGATGTTTGAAGAATACCCACGGCTATGGGACTTTGACGATGATACATTAAGATCATTCTGGGAAGAGTTTTTGAGACTCAAGCTACTAAACTGGTCGTGCAGTCCCACATCAACACCACTGTCCAGCTTCATGGATATATGAGGGTCCTCCTTCCCTTCTTCGGGTCCCACGAGTATTCGAGAAGAGGAAGTAATCTCAACAGATGGGCACTCGGAACTTAAATTTGCCCCAGACAAGAACCCCGAATCAGTCCGACCTGACTCATAAAATGATAAACCGTCCGAGTTCCCCTTCATGCAAGTTGGGGATGAGGGATCTCTCGCTATAGAAACGTCTTGCTGGATTTTGACACTTTCCCTCTTCCGTTCTTCTGTGGCTGAGGGTAATCCATGGGGGTTTGTCTGATGACGGCCAGATGCACAACCTGAAACCGATTCGGAATTGTCAGCGGAGGGATGCTGCTTGTGCCACATCGTCACAACACAAACACTAAAAAAAATCCAGACACAAAACACAACCACTACTACTCCCGTAGACTGTTTTCACTACACACTGGTTACACCTGCATATGAATTCATTAAAACGTTTGCTCGGCACTGTTTTCTATTTTGACACACATGAAGCCATTTCCGTAAAAGTAGGTTACGACAAGACCGAGAACTGACGACTGCCTTACGAGCGAATATGAACACAAACTCCACTCGAAAGCTCACCGTTGTTCATGCTTATGACAACACGGACCGTACTGCTACTTTCCAGCAATGCTGTTTCACCTACTACAAACGTTTTAAGGTCGAGTGTGAAACTGCTATGTGTAGTTTCCAAAGCAAGACCTTCGCTCTGGAACTTTCAAGAACTCTGCGCTATCACATCGCCATGTACGTATGGATTGCCGTTCAGCTGGGAAGGGGGGGATGGAAAACCCCAACGGGCGGAGCTTTGTGAATATCGCCTTGACAAAATATAGTTCGGCAGCTCTGCGCGGCAGACAAATACAATATGCGCTGATCAATTACGTGTACGTTAACGTCATTATGATTATTACATTTTACATGCCAGTATGGCAGCTACTGCAGCAGGGAATGCACTGAATTAATAAACAGGCCTGGCGCCTCATGTTACAATCAATTTCCCGCCCTCAATTGACGACTGTAGATATATGACCCACAAACTCTAGCAGTACGGCTGCCCTGCTAAGTTCAGTTGAAAATTGGGAACTATAGTTGTTGAATTTTTAACAGGCTCTCCGAAAATAAATAAGTCGCCTTGCGAAAATGCCAATGTGAATAATGCATATACAAGAAAAATATATTTTTTATTACCACTATTTGTTCTGAAAATTTTTAATACAAGTTTAAATGCAAGATTTGACCATAGAATCTCGTCTTATACCAAAATAGCAACCGGTTGTCTGTATTTCCGCTTTTGCACGGGCGGACTCATGGAAAGTTCAGCCGCCGCTATCTGTCCGCATTCGGTGGGACTAATTCCTGTCTCAACTGCCATCTCATGGAAGGGACGCCAACCACTAGCTAATTCCGAAGCGGCCTATACCATTTGTTGCATCTGACGGATGGCCGCCCACAAAATGAATATAACCACGAAGTAGGACTGGGTTCAGATCACAGATTTAAAAATTGCCTTCTATACCTTCTGTGTTAGAAATGTCGCTATCAACGATTTCACTATGCTTCCTGTTTTCGTAAATGTACATTTCGTGTTCGCTTTCTCACAACGACATTGGCCATTTCTAAGCAAACATGCATCCATTCTGCATCAATGCATTAGTAACCGTTTCCCATCCATGCCTCAGTTCTCAAGCCAGCTCATTGATGTGCTGATTATTGTCTTTAATTATTCCTGAGTCTGACTGAGACAGGCAAACAAGCATTTCTTAAGGCATCGACATCAAACATGAAATTAAAAATGGCTTTCGACATATCTTCATTTTGTAGAGCCGGGATAGCTCAGTCGGTATAACGATTGGCTACGGGCTGGACACACCGAGGGGTCGGAGTTCGAGTTCCGGCAGGGTCAGGAATTTTCTCTTCTCCACGTCGTCCAGACCGGTTCTGGCGCTCACGCAGCCTCCTAATCAATGGGTGTACAGAGGGTATTTCCCCGTGGGTAAAGCGGCAGGGGCGTGAAGCTGACCACTTACATCCAACTAGTGCCGAGGTCAAGAAAACGTGGATCTATACATCCACTCCCCCATACGTCTTCATGGCGTGGTGCATAATTAGTTAAGCACAGGAACAACTTTACCCAGATCTTCGTGTTTCTTTACTGAAACATTTGATTTCATACTTTCATATTTGTTTGAGCTAGAGATTTTAATACAGCATCTGTGGTTTGCAACTGGATACGCTACTATTCGTGTTTGATGAGGTCGTTGGATTTTTCAATTGTCCTAATCCTTCCAGCAGCACTACGGTCGCAGGGTCGACTTAGCCTCTAACAGAAATGAGTACCAGGACAACTTCCTGGGGGTAAAGGGCGGCTGGCGCGTAAGGCTGAAAACCTCACCGATTATCTAGAAAATGTGGGCGCCTCGACGTCTCACAACCCTATGGGCCTCCATGGCCTGTTACAGGGATCGCTTTAGCTCCTTTATATTCGTGTTTAACTCTTGTTGTTTTATAAACATGTAAAAAGTGTCTAAGATTAGAGTTTAAAATTGAGTCTTTTCAAAGTTTTATCATATTTTGCCACTTCAGATGTATTCAGAGATTAAGCGGTTGAGAGACAAAGTTCTATGTCATATTTGGGGATGTAATTAACGGCATAGCGACAAACTGGGCTCGAACATTTACTTGGAGCACTGTGCCTGAAATAAGTCCCAAAGTGGTGAATTTATACGACAGAAAGTTTCAACCTATGCTTTAGAGATAGTACAGTAGTTTTATCTCCTTTCTTATAATTGCGCAAGGCACTATGCTGGAGTTTTATCTTACAATGACAAGTTTCTAAACGTGGTTTTCCCACAGCACGTAAACAACTGGAAAAATCCAAAGGAAGAATATCTTCACAGACGCTAAACGTTATCTTATCTTCATAATCTGTCATTACCGTGTGAAGTTATAACAATAATCTTTTTTTCTGAAATACTTGTATTTCTGAAATACTTTTTAGAATTCACTGCCCAAAAAATATATCCACACATGTTCAAGTAAAGCGTCACAAAAAACGGCGTCAGACCACAGACACATTGATAATTTCCGGTCACTCACACTGTGTACGGTTTTCCCCGTGTGCAGGCGGGTTGGAATACCTCCACCGTAACCCTATCAACCGTGAAAGGTGACGGAAAGAGAACCCAGTGCCTGGGGGTATGACTGGGGGACATAAATACAGGGACCTGGTCCTCCAGGTTGGGGGTTTGATGCAAGCCTGACGACCTTGCTCTGCAAAAAAAAAACACTGTTACGAAACCCAAAGAAGTGAAACTGGATGCAATATGGCGGGAACTTCTGAGGGAGGCAATGACTCATGAAGGACTGTTCTTTTTTAACGATAATGATGATGTTGATGTGTATATTGTTTGATACTGTATTTCTATGTAATAATTTTCGAGATTTGCACATATTATTAATATTGGCCAAGGTCAATCTGGCGAGTTCTACGGCGATGAATTAGCGCACTTTTTGTATCTGACGGTTCGAGTCTTGATTACTTCAATAGTTTCGTCTTTTTATTTTCGAAATTAGATAGCTTGAAGCAAGTTCTGTCACCACATTTTAAATCCATTCATAGCCTGCCTTCCTACCTGAGGAAATCAAGTAAGCTCATAAGAACACCACGTGTGTGCCTGTGTGCTTCTCATTAGAGTTCTTGAGCCACTTTGCCGGCTTTTTTGAAACCACTCCAACACCACACTTCTTAGTTACAACAAAGGTAACATTTTGGGCTCATATTCGATGGGGCGGGGGGAATTCGTTTCGAGCCTAGGCTGGAACACAGATTGTCCTCGTTGAGGCATTTTGTGGTCTTTCTTAGTCCTCTAAGGCAAATTTCGAGATAATACTTAGATTACGTCAGGACGGCTTCCTTCCAAATCCCTTTTAATTCGTCTATCAACCTCACATCGGACGCCAGTAACGTAATAGGCAGATGCACGAAAATGTGATGTGAAAATGACACATAACAGAGGGACGCGAAAGGTGTGATAAACCTAGGAAAAATATGTAATTCTGTCCGGTTTGTTCTTCTGACGTGGCTGTAGAATGAAAGGCATGTTTCGTGCATGAAAAGTAAGAGACGCAGTACCTTCGGCGCTCAGGTTTCGAGATGCTCTTGTAAAATAATAATATGATATGCCTTTAATTTTGTAAATCTTATTACTAACGAGATGCTGAACTAAACAAAACATGAAGCTAATTCAAGCGGCCAAACTTCTTAATTAGGAAAATTCTACTCGAGAGAGTTCATGGCTATCTGTCAACTCCAGCCAACCTCAAAGCCTTCTCAATAGTTACTGGTGACGACACATCGTGTGTTTGTTTACTGCTTAGCTCACAGTTTGTGTTTGAATTTCTGATTTGAAATTTCAAATTCATTATTCTTGTTGGTGTTACTACTACTACTACTACATATTTATTTGTTTATTGACGCTGTCATTTGCTAGCATCGAATCGCAAGATGATTAAAAATATAGTGGACTGGGAAGGACGTGGGAAGAAGAAGTCGTGACTTAATTTGAGAAAACCGCCGGGTCGTCCTGCATATGAAGCAGGAATCCTAACCTCTCGACGGCGAGGTTCGCTAATGGCTGCCTTGTTGTCACAGCATGGTGAGTTCTCAGTTCGCGGATAGAGGTCGGGGCTTGCAGACACTGAGCGCTGGAGGGTGTTTCCGCAGCTCGGTGCTTGGTCTCAGGCTGATAATTCTGCGTGTGGAAAGCAGAACATTTTGACGAGACGTTTAACAGTGTTCGTCGGACTTTGGGGATTGGTCCTTTTGAAGTTTATCTCAGAACGAGTACAGGCGCGTATGTGCACCTGTAGTGAGCAGAATTAAGTAGAGCCGTTACAGAGAGTAAGGGCAAGGGTAAAGTTATCCCTGTACCAGGCTTCCACATTGTCTAGACAATCAGCTCACACATGGCGGTGAGATCAGCCTTAGCACAGGCCCTTATTTACCCCCAAGGAGATTTCTGGTGCTAATTTCTCTCACAGACTGAGTCGACCTCAGGACCAACTGAAAAATCCAATGACCTCATTGGGACTCAAACCAGCGACATTGTGGCTTGCAGCACAGCGCCTCAAACAACTGCGCCAGTGCGTGCCCCCTTAGAGAGAGTTCTGCATCTTTCAGCAAGGACTGCACCTCAGCGGGAGGAGCAGAGGAGCAGAGGAGCAGAGCAGGAGGAGAGCAGAGACTGTGCCACTCGCTGCAGATGTTTGGATTTATGCAGGAAGGCGAGAAAGAGGACAGTAAGTTTACCCCGACAGCAGTGGCCAGAGTGAGGAATACAGTACGCCCTTCGGATTCAGCCGTCCCACCACTAAATCTCTCACCCCCTAAATGGTCGTAACAGTGGGTTGTCACACCGCGAAGGTTCGTGGAAGGGACAGTGTCTCCTGGAGACAGAAGATGGCTGGGTCATGATAGTGAATTAAAGCCTGAAAGTCACGGTACCGCGTTCGAAAACCATTAATGTTCCATTGAAGAGGCGTGGTTTTCTGGAGTGAGACTTGGGGTGAACACTCAAGGATGGTCGGGCACTGTGCGCTGGTAAACAACTTAATGCCAGACAGGGCAGGGCAGGGCCTTCAGTCTAGGCGGAGGAACAACAAAAGACGTGATGCAAAGTGTAACTTGAAGAAGGAGGAGATTGTGAGCAATATGGCAAGGCTGTGATTTCAGTTGTGGAATCAATCGCTCGCAATCAGCGAAGAGTTAATGCATAAGCACGAGCCAATGATTTACGTCTGTTTCCAGCGAACTTCTTTTCCGGCATCCGGAAACGAAAGACCTTCTGTAATCCT